AGGCTTATTGCTTTGTATATAATTGAATAATTTTTATACTGCAATTTAGTTGAACAACGTAACCTAGATTATTTATTTTCACATAACAATATGTTTTATGCCTGATGAATTTTTAACACCGTGGTTAAATAAAGATTGAATGAATGAATGAATGTAGGAATGAATGAATGAATGAATGAATGAATGAATGAATGAATGAATGAATGAATGAATGAATGAATGAATGAATGAATGAATGAATGAATAAATGAATGAATGAACAGCTATACGGTCTGGCTTCGGATCGATATCCGCAGGAAATCGTAAAACCCACGGGACTGAAAAAAGGTCTGCTTTTCCTACGCAGATCGTAACAAGACTGTCGCAATCGGGAAATCAATCGCAAATGACTTCATATTTTGAATTCAAATTGCAACTTTTTATTACTTATAAACAGATGACTAACCCATACTGAACTCACTAAAACACTTCATAACACCTTTCAAGATGATAAAGAGATAATAAAAAGAATCTGGTGAGCATTCTTTTTAACTATAAATCTTTTATTTCAACTTTTCAAATTTATAGCCCCTTTTAAATGTGATCTTAAATATATATATTTCTATGTACTATTTAAAAACCGAGCAGCAGTGTTTTATCGGGTTTAAAAACACGAGGCGTAGCCCAAACGGGTATTTCGAGAACCAAAAAATGCGAAGGAAGAGAAGATTACTTGGATAGTTGTGTTCCAAGGGCTACTCGGTATGCCGCAAAGAGGGCTTACAAAATTATTGGCGAGTGGCAAAGTTCAAGAAGAATTCAAGACGCCAACTTGGAGGAAATAGGATTTAGAGTTGAAGTTGAGAGTATTCAAAACTGTACAATTAATTTTGTGAATGGAAAATTGTAAAAGAACGAATTTCTGTTCTAACAAGAGTTTGTTGTTTACTGCGGTTAATGTTTTTGTATGCTGCCTTTTGGGGAATTATTTGGTATTATAATTAACGTGATCTTTATATAAAGATCACAGTAATCATATTTTCATTAATAATTCAGTGATGATTTCGTTGTTTATGAATTGTACCCCGATTTCCCCCGAGACCGAAATCAAAACCCTCTCCGGGCTTTTCGGAATGAACATTCTATACCGGCTAGAAAGGTTCATACACGTGATCGATTTGCCTCGTGTGATAGGCTAAT